GGTGGATTAACATACATATTTACGTAATTTTGGTAATCCCATTTAGGTGGGATTACGCTTCCTTACAAATAGGAATAGCAACTTTGGTAAGTCTGGGCACGACATACCTTGGGGTCTTCTAGGGCACTGCTTCTTAAACTGTTAGTCCTTTTAGCTCAATGCTGGGGTCCCAAAAATTTGACCACAGTAAAAGTTTTCTGAAGGTTGCCCAGTCACTGTCTTAGACATTTGCACAAATTTGTTGTGCAGTGTTTACAGTGGACTCTGCAGAAGATGCTTCAGCTGTACATCATAAAAAGGAAAACTAGCCTGTTAGCAAGCCTTGGAAATGCTAATTTGTCATCAGTAAATGTTTGATTTTTACACCTATAGTATATTATATACCTATACACCAGGGGTCACATAAAACTTTCAGATGAAAAGGGGTTGTGAGTGGTAAAAGGTTTAAGAAGCCCCGTTCTAGGACCCATAATGGTTTGCCACAGGTGGCCTCCTAAAAGATACAAAGAAAACTGCAAAATGTCCAAAGGCTCTTGTGTGATTTTGAAAACCATGCTTTTGTTGTTTTTGTTTTACTGTTAAGGAAAGTCACATGTATTATCTCCAGAAGTGAAGACTGAGGGGAGACATGACGGCCATGTATAAATATGTGAGGAGAAGTCATAGGGAGGAGGGAGCAAGATTGTTTTCTGCTGCCCTGGGGATTAGGATGCAGAACAATGGCTTCAAACTACAGGAAAGGAGATTACACCTGAACATGAGGAAGAACTTCCTGACTGAGCTGTTCAGCAGTGGAACTCTCTGCCCTGGAGTGTGGTGGAGGCTTCTTCTTTGGAGGCTTTTAAACAGAGGCTGGATGGCCATCTGTCAGGGGTGCTTTGAATGTGTTTTTCCTGCTTCTTGGCAAAGGGTTGGACTGGATGGCCTATGAGATCTCTTCCAACTCTATGATTCTATGATTTCAAAAGACTTCCAAGAGATACAGTTCATCCTTTTCTAGCCAGACAAAGGAAGTCCAGAGTGATGCTTAGGGCTTCAAAAACACCTTTTCCCCAAAACAGTTTTTGAAGGTGCTTCAAAAGAAATAATGAATACAAAAGGTATCTCCTCCTCTGTTCTCCAGTGTTAGAGTTCTCTGAACTACTCTGCTTATGGGAAGTATGGAGCCAAATCAATATCTCAGCCTTTCTACAACTTGATTCAAGAACTGTTGAAAAGACCTGTTTTCCACCAATGCACAATTAATTCTGCGCATTAATTGAAAAGCTGAATTAATATATGCACTGCAGGTTTTGGAAATAACAATATTTTGAACAATACATGCAACCAATACTATATTTGGTATCATAACTGACATCTCTGCTCATTAAGATGACCACTCCATTGTCCCTTGATAAGTGTGACAAAGGAGCTCCAGCCAGAAACGGTTGTAGAATGTCCTAATGGCAGCCAGATTGGTCACTGTTACATCTAGGAGAGATCATATTACATTGATATTAAAATCACTTAGCTAGCTACCAGATGGTTTTTAGGCAGCTACAAAGTGTTTGTTGTTATCTTTAAAAGTCTACATGGTTTAGATATGGGTTCATATAGGATTTTCGTTTTCCATAGAATCTGACTTATAAACTCATGTCTTCAGTCAGACTATTAAGCAGAGGGCTTCCATGCCGTAATCTTTTGTTGCAGGCTGGTGCATTCTTCATCTCTTGTTTTATGTAGTCACTGAATCTTTATTTTTTAATTTCTTCCTAGGATTGGAAAAGCTATTTAACTTAACTAAACTGAATTTGTCATACAACCAGATACATGACATTACAGGTAGGAAATTTTCAGCCAGATCATTTCCATATCTGTTCAGTTATTACTGAGACCTATTGTTACATAATTAGTGTAGCATTAGGATCTTCTGCTGAAATCTCAAACAAATTAACTATTTTAAGCTCTGAGATTAAATCTTGATTGTAGCCTGCTGCAAGTGAATGTTCGAACTATATCATATTGTATTTTGAAATAGATTGATGATATGATTTAGTAGAATGATTGTTAATTAATTTACCCTTCTGTTGTAGAACAGTCCATGGGAAAATTACTTTATGCACATATTCCATATAAATACGTTTCCACAGTTTTGTTACAGATGTTACTGCCTTCGTTTTATTGATGTACTGCGGGCTTGGCCTCATGTAAGCCGCACTGAGTCCCTTGGGGAGATGGTAGTGGGGTGCAAATAAAGTATTATTATTATTATTAGGGTTTGAATAAGACTTCAAGTGTTGCTGCTGGATAGATACTTCTTAATATTTTTTTTCAATGATAATAAAAGGCACTGTGTGTCTTAGAGACCTATAGCTTCAAGAGCATGAAACCATGACATTTGAAACTTGGCAAGTAGACAAATGAGACTCTAGAGCTGTGTTCCCACATGCTATTTGTTTTTTTAAGCACTTCACTTAAATTTTTGGCAGAGTTGCCTGAGCAACTCATAAAAAGCAGACCTACAGGCCTGTCCTACTAGTGAGCAACTACATTCCAAGGGAATGAAGTGACCAGATTTGGGGAATATCGAGGGTGAACCATTACAGCAGTGGTGAAGATGAAAGTTATTTGAGAAACAGGGTGCTTAGAACCAGCAGATCATGTTGGCCTTCCTTTCATACTGGTATACAATGCTGGAAAAAGTGTGACCAGTAGCATAGACACATTTAGCATTCTACTAAATGTGTCCAACTCTGGCAGCTGATTAATGTTGCTTGAAGGCTTTCATGGACTACTTTTTCCCAATTTTCTGATACATTTTGGCTATTTTAGAAACAGAAGGAAAATGATATATTACACCGAATCTGGACTAGAGGAAAACAATTCCATCAATTGGATTTATCCGTCTGTTGACACACCATTCAACATTTGGTTGAAGGAGTCTAATCTAGTTGAAAATAACCATTCTTTGTTACTTAACACAATTGCTTTAAAAATATACTGGCGTCTCTTGAAAAATGTCCATTAAGATATTGTTTCTGGTTACAACAGGACTTCTATCTCTTCGTGGACCCAGTTGTAAAATCAGTTACATTGAGCTTCATGGTAATTGTATAGACAACATTAACCATTTGCTCCAGTGCTTGAGTGGATTACAGTACCTGAGCAACCTATCTTTAGAGAAGAATGGAAAAAGCAATCCAGTGTGTTCCAAAATAGGTAAGAATGGTGCTCAGGATACAATTAAGGGTTACTCAGCAGATCTTGCCTTGTCTTGTAAATATTCTTTCATGGTAGCAAAATGGGATTAGATTCCTTCAGAGTCATTTCCAACACAGTGGTTCTCAGCCTGGGGTCCCCATATGTTTTTGGCCTACAACTCCCAGAAATCCCAGACAGTTTACCAGCTGTTAGGATTTCTGGGAGTTGAAGACCAAAAACATCTGGGGACCCCAGGTTGAGAACCACTGTAATCAAATGGATATTAAAAAGGTCTAGAGAAGGTTGCCCACATGAAAGGACTGCTTTGGATTTGGGAACTGCTGTTCTCATTCAGCATCTGCTTGGCCATCCCAGAAGCAGAAGGGAATTGTTGGTTACAAACCCATAATTCAGTCGGTCAGTGATTTTATGTTTTTGTTTCAGGTGACAAAATGAAATGTTCCTTTATGTTTTACAGTAAAGAATGTTAGCAACACTTTCAGAGATCCTTTCCAAAAAGTCAAAATCTCAGTCCTTCCTTGGAAAGTAATAGAGGAAGTAATATCTTCAATATTGTTTTAAGGTTATAGAGAGATCCTCCTTCAGGCTTTACCGCAGCTAACTGTCCTCGATGGAAAAAATATATTTGGTGAACCTGTAAATTTGGTGGAAGCAAACTCATCAGATTTAAAATGTTTAGAAGGTCTTTTAGACTGCTTGGCATCATCAAGTTCTCCTACAGATGACGAAAAGGTACTGTGATTGTATATTTCTTTTTTTACCCACTGAAAACATACAGTCAGTTCCCAAGTTACAAACAAGATAGGTTCTGCTGGTTTGTTCTTAAGCTGAATTTGTTTGTATGTCAGAACAGGTTCATTTTTAAGTGTAATTCCAGCTATCTATCTATTTATCTAAGCTTTGGGTAGCATAAGGAAGGGTTAATACCCATGTGGTTTTTGTTTTGTTGTCTGTTTCCCTGTTCAGAAGATTTCGCCTAACTTTCTGTCCCCATTGAGAACTGGATTTTGAAAAAAAATGGTTTATTGTGAAAACAAGGATTGGTGATAAAGGTTCAACTGAGACACCTTTTCCCCATGATAATACTTTAGGAGTGAATTTCCCTTCTGAGGGGCAAGTTTCTCTCACTTCCTGTTGTCTTACTTGTTTGTAAATTGGATGTTTATAAGCTGGGGACTGCCTGTATATGTTTTCTGCTCTATGATTTACAGTTTTTTTCTTTCTTGTTAAATAGACTTGTGTTAATTTACCAGTGCTAACACCTCGCATTGATCAGGTGTTGGCTCAGTTTCACCAACGTGCAAATATACCAAGCTGGCCTATCACTAGCTCATCCACGGAGGTCATATCTTCTTCTGAACCAGAACAAACCAAATGTGACCGCGACATGAGACTAAAAAAACTTGAGGATCAGATATCACTCCTACTGGAAAAGGTAACAAGGTTATTACATCTTTCAACCCAGCTTTGCAAATATTTCTATGGATTTGTATTTGTGTCTCAGAACAAAATCAGGAGAACACTGGAAATTAATATGAAAATCTAATAATACTGTCCTTTTACAATTATGTAAGCAGGTGAGAAAACTGGGGCACATATTTTTCTGTTGCTGATCTCTCACAGCCTCTAGATGGATTTTCTGAAACAACAAGCTCTTGTCTTAATTAGTACCGGTATGAAACAATTGGAGAAAGTAGAGCTGGATCTTGTGTTTTCTATCTCTGCTACTAATTGAGTATAGTTTATTTGCCATAGTTTTCTCATTACACTTCCATTTACTCAGTGCAGCTACAAGATCATATCCAACATCTAAACAGAAAGGTTTCCATTATGTGATGTTCACCTGTAATTTAGAGGATGTGATTGAACAGCCACCAACTTAACTGAAACAATTGACTCTTTTTTCCACCTCATTTACCAACCCCGTCTCACAATCTTTGAATATGCTGTGGTCTGAATGGGCATTAATGTGTGCTCCCATTTCAGGAAAGAGTATGCTTAACAAAGCCACTTTAGCTCCTGCAGTCCCTTAATGGAGTGAACAACAAGACACGTTCTTAGTGGCGGGGGGCATTAGCCTATATCTTAATCAAAAGTGCTGAAACCCTCAGTTCAGTTTATACATATTATGATTTGAAATAAAATGTATATCTTATTTAGCTAGTTTTAAAAAATAATAATGGATATTTTCTTCTGAAGTTCATATATTTTCATACATGATGCTGTTATGTTTGCAGTATATCCAACCTTTATGACAACAGATTTTTCTTTCTAAAATTGATTGGTCTCAAAATCAGAAGTGAGTTTTGAGCATAGCTCTTTTATTTTTAGGTGACTAATTCTTCTCAATCTGGCATTGCCCTGAATGTTCTCAAAGCGAAAAGAGAGACAGATCTTACTTCAGAGAGTGATGGGGAAAGTAAAAAAGGGAACAGGAAGGTTGCTAAAAGAAGCAAGCTGCCTACTTACCGAAAAGCAACTTTACCTACCAAGTACCATTCTCAAAAAGGCAAAACATCAGACAGGTAATTTCAGTTCAGCTATGGCTGCTTCCATGTTCACTTTCATTCCTTTATCTATTTATTTGGTGGGAAAGCACTACTGAATTCAGTAGGGCTTAATTTTTAGTAGGCATGTTTAATAAGCATATTCTAAGTTGCCTTTAAGATATATGCAGGTAGTACCTTTTAGATCTTGTATATCATCACATAATTTCATTTCGCAGGCAACCCTAAACAAACTTCTCTTGGAACTAAATTCTCTAAGTTGAATACCAATATATATTGGTTTCCATGTTAATTGGATCAGGGTTGGAGTGAAAAGCCAGTTGGTTCCTTGTTGCTGATTATAATTTCTAGTCTATCTGGAGAATAGTTTTATTATTTTAAAAAAAGAAAAAAGAGGTTGTAATGAAAGGAAAATATTGAAGGAAATGATGGGAAAACGTTGAGAGCTCAACAATGGCTTTGTGAGAACTGCATTTTCTACAATACAATTAACCATTAGATTGTCTGTAAAAAGTATACAAATATGACTGCAAACAGTATCATCCTACAATTTCTTTTATGTACTTGAATGTATTTTAAATATAATTATGTGTTAATGCTTACAAGCCCTAATTTAAGAAGTTGGTGTGTTCCCGTTTTTATCTGTAAACATGTAATTTGTGTCATTTTAGGGGAGAAGAACAAACTGGCAGAAAATCAAAAATTCCAGAGTCTCATGCCAAAGAAGATGAAACATCAAGTCCAACTTCAGAAATCCCAAGCCTGGAAATAGTTGGGAAGTCATCGAAGAAACTAACTGGGCAGAAAAATGAAATCAAAAAACTAAAAATCATGGATTCTAACACACCAGAAGAGTCCACTTACAGGGTAACCATATTTCAGTGTTTTGATTCAAAGATAATCATGGCCTTTCCATATATGTTTAATACTTTTCTCAATACAAAAGCAATACTATGTTGGAGAGAAAGATTCTAGTCTAGACTTCCACTAATCTCTGGAAGATTTTTTTTCATACTGAAGAATATTCAGTCAAACACTTTGCTTAGAGTATAACATGGCTAGAACTGATCCTGTGTAGACTTTGGAGCTGATAACCTTATTTTTATAAAGCTTAGACAGACATTTTGGAATATACATCTGTTTTGCAAAGAACATTTCACCACATGTTTATTCTTTCTACAAATGAAACTGGTTAACTCAAACCGGAATCTTGGCACCTCTAATAAATGTGCTTAAGTGTTTTCTTCTGTTTACAAAGGCTGTTGAAGAAGCAAAATCATCCCCCTTCCCGTTTCCGCAATATTTTTGAGCTTTCTTAGTCATTAGGAGAAAGCAATCCCTATACCATGCTGGTCTGGCATCACAGTTTCAAAACCCTATCTCTAGTGTAGCAGCTTGCATTGTCGGAGTAATGGGCACTTAATGTATGCTATGCCAATTAACTAATTAATTCTAATTTCTCCTCCAAAATGTGACTTTTTATTTTTGGTTCAGGCACTAATTCAAGAATTAGATCAGGAAAGAGAGAAGAGATGGAAGGCTGAAGAAGCTGAAAAGAAAATGAGAGAAAATCTCAAACTGCTGCAGAATCATGCCAAAGAAGAAAAAGATATTCAAAGTATGGCAGTATATATTACAGACAGGTAAAGGACAAACACATTTACAAGCACTTTACCAAAAAAAAAATTTTTCCATCCACTTTTATGATTTTAGTTAACAGAGAAAGAACTTAGAAGCAGTAAAATGTAACAGATTCCAGTCAGTACATGTAGGTTGGGCTTTCAGGCAATTTCAGAATAAGTAACCTGGAATTTTAGTGCTAACGTTCAGATTGAGAACAAATAGTCACTAAGGTGGGAAGACAAGAAGAAAATTTGTCCCAATGCTTTTGTTAGGCTTAATGTTAGGGAATATTACATTAAGTATTCATTTGAGTAATTTTTAAGTGAGAATCAGTGTGGTATAGTGGTTTGTGCAATAGATTAGGGCTTTGGACAGGATTTGAACCTCGCTCAATGATGGAAAACCACAGAGGACCTTTAAGCAACTCACACTTTCTCAGCCTCAAAGGAAGAGAATGGCAAACAACTTTCGGAACAAATCTTGCTATAGAAATCCTATGATAGGGTCATCATAAGTTGTAAATGACTTGAAGGCACACAATAACAATTTTAATATATTTTCAGCAAATGTTTGCTAGCTCTTGTGTGTTTAAAAACATACACAGTATATTATTTGCTAATGATCCTGCACAAAATTTACATGCTTAAATATAGTGATGCTTTCAAAAAGGAATGTTAGTTATTTCAAATTTTAAGCATTTTCCTCTGATGAAGAACATGCCTACTCAAAAGATGTCAGAATCTGTTCCTGCCTTCACAATCTGTACCGACCTCTTTATGAAAATAATTTGGGTAATTGGCCTATTTCTGCATCCTTTTTTAAAAACCACCTTCACATCTGTAACAGTAGAAAAATTCACTTTCTCTTAAGATAAAATAAAGTTGCAGTCATGGTGTAGCATCAGACTTTTTCCATGTGTTTTTTTCTTCATGGCAGCAGAACATTGGGCATAGCTTCAGTGAATAGAATGGATTTTGTTAAGAGCACCTAATAAGTATCACCTGTTACTGTGCTGATTTTTTTCTTGTCAGGAGTGACTTGATAAACTGCAAGTTGCTTCTGGTGTAAGAGCATTGGCTGGCTACAAGGACGTTGCCCAGGGGACACATGGATGTTTGATATTTTACCATCCTTGTGGGAGGCTTCTCTCATATCCTCACATGGGGAGCTGTAACTGACAGGGGGAGCTCAACCCACCCTCCTCAGATTCGAATCACTGAACTGTCAGTGAGCAGTCCTGCTGGCACAAGGGTTTAACCCATTGCGCCACCAGAGCTGAGAACAATGTCTTGCATGCTGAAGGACCCAAATTCAGTCCCTGCCATTTCCAGGGAGGACTGGAGGCCCACTGCAGGTTAGCCATGGCAAGTTGACTAGTGCAAATTAACAGAAACATTTATTGAGATAGATCAGTTGTCATAGAAATGCTGTGATGGCCTAAAGTTAGTATCCACAATGTTAAGTCTCCAGTATTTTGAGGCAGATGAATAAACCCTTCAGTTCAGTGGTTCTCTACCTGAGGCCCCCAGATGTTTTTTGCCTTCAACTCCCAGAAATCCTAACAGCTGGTAAACTATCTGGGATTCTGCGAGTTGTAGGCCAAAAACATCTGGGGACCCCAGGTTGAGAACCACTGCTTTAGTTCAATATAAACACATAATCTTAACCAAATGGCTGAGGAATGATGAGTTAAATATTTACAGTTCTGAGTCCTGAACTTTGAGTTCTCAGTATTTATTCTTCTGAAAAGTCTCCCCGCTTCGAAGCTTCCTTTCAGCCCTCCTGAGATTTTAATACAATTAATTTCTGTTGTAATGTTGAAAATAAATCTAGCATTTGATTTTATTATGCTGTATGGCTAAGGTTAGACATTGTTCCAAACCACGATTGGGGGAATATAATTGTGTTTTGGCATGAGACCTGCATCAGCAAACCATCACAAAAGTTTCCCTTTGGTCTCTCATAGGTATTGATGCACTTTGAGATGATAGTAAACTTTAAAAATTGAAATATCTAAAAAGTTGCAAAAGAAAGCGGAATGGCTTTATTGTTATTGAAAGTAGAAACCATGGTTAGGTAGGCTTTCTTAATTCCCTGAGAACCAAAAACTTTAAGGAATTATTCTGGTATTTCATTTATTTTTAAATAAATGAAGTGCGCCAAAGTAGTTTCATCGCTTAATTTTAATGATGATAGACATTATATGTTTATTGTTCCTTTTTTCCTCCAGGCTAAGAGAATTGATTTTAAGAGAAAGAAATGCAAAGACAAAACTTCAGATTGATGCTCAGCAATTGAAAGAGGAAATAGGAAGACTTAGTAAGGAATTGAATTGGTCAAAGCAGAAGGAGGAAGATCAGCAGCAAACATTGCAAACTTTAGAACAAAAACTATCCAAAATGGAAACACAAAGGGTACAACAACAAACTTCAGAGGTACCATCTTTTTTGCATTGCAAGAGGGAAAATATGGTTTTTGGTGCTCTGATGGTAAATCTTGCATATAAGAATTTTAGCAGCTGCAAATCATGCAGATATGACAAAAGTGATATTTGATAGGCATAAAAGCCTTAATCTTCCTTGGCAGCCAGTCACCTTAATTGTTAATAGTTTTGTGGGTCATATTCATAGATAAGTTGTTTTGGTATGTTAGAAGCTTGCAAGTCTACATTTTATTACTGGACCAATGAACTAGATACTCATAAGAACAAAAAAGCTGTACTGGATCTGACAAAAGGCAAAGTCAAACCAGCCTTCTTTTCCCACAATGGCCGACAAGATGCCTCTGGAAGGCTCATGAACATGGCATAAATGTAAAAATAGTAAAATAATCTCCCAGATCTGCCAAAAATGTATTTAATAATACCAAACATTGACTGCTGTGATTTTATTTATCTTGATTTTCAATATGATGCAGATGAAACAAATTCAAACTGCGGAACTTAAAGCTACAGCAGCTGAAAGGGAAGTGCAGTTACTTCGAATATCTCTTCGGCAACAAAAGGAGAAGACACAACAAGTCCATGAGCTTCTCATGTTAAGAGAGCAAGAACACAGGTGTGTGCTTTCTGATAATCCCATGAGTGAAAACAGACATGGTTATTTATAGGTGATGAAGCACTGTCCAGTTCATTCCCTCAAACGTTGTTTGCCTGCATTGGGCTTGTGTATCAGAAGAACCCATTTAGTTTAGTATTTATTTTCTTTTTTTATTCCAGAAAAGAACTCGAAACTAGGGTTGCATTAAATGGCTCAGAATTCCAAGAAGCTCTGTCAAAAGAAGTTGCTAGAGAGCAGCAGAGGCATGAACATCATATCAAAGAACTGCAGGAGAAAGTGCACCAGTTAAATCAGAATTATAAAGATTTAGAAGATGAGTTTCGTATGGCATTAACTATAGAAGCCAAAAGATTTACAGAGGTAAGAACTTCTCTCATTGCAGGGCATATAGAAAATGTAATCCTTTTTAATAATAAGAAATTGAGAGTTATGTTTTTCAGAACAATAAATCAGGAAATACGAATTAAGGCAAAAATTCATTTTAAATCTGATTTAAATTTAAAAAACCATGTTTGATGTAAATACTTACTAAATAGACAAGGCATACTAAGTGGCTTATTATTAGTAAAGAACATTTTCATCCTGCCGTTCCACAAAAAAAATAATTAAATTAGTGAAACTATTAAAATACCACTAAAAAGTATTGATTTTAAAATCTGAGAGCGCCATTGTACAGTCCTTTTTAATCTTTCTTCCTAGGCCTCTGGAGGCAGAGATCTTACCATAAAGAAAGATATGGACCTCAGACTCCCCACTCCCAAGTCCCTCCAATTCTTCCTGGGTTCCCTTAACTCTTTGAAGTTAGAGAAAGGGGGAAAATGGGCAGACTAGCACATGGAGTTGGGGAAGTTTTTTTTATTAAGGCTTAAGATTTCACAGCGCTCTGCCACACATCAACAGGTAGTTGAGATTTATCATCATCACCATCATAGTTTGCAATGGAAGTAGTAAAGATGATCTAGAAATAGTGTTGAAATGCTAAATGCTACTTTTCTCTCACTTTACCTGTCTAAGGCCTCTTCCACACAGCTGAACAAAATCCCACATTTTCTGCTTTGAACTGGAATATATGGCAGTATGGACTTTGATAACACAGTTCAAAGCAGATATTTTAGGATTTTCTGCCTTGATATTCTGGGTTATATTGCTGTGTGGAAGAGCCCTTAAATGTGTAAGTGCCTCATCACTCTGCTTATATTGTAGGGATTGATATCAAATGCTATTTTTTATTTATTTTCACTTTACAGTTATATCTTGCCTTTTATCCAGTTAGCTCAAGGCAGCATAAATGGCTGTCTTCCCAGCATCTTCTTACAACAATCCTGTCAAGTGAGATTTAAGGGCCCTTCCACACAGCCATATAACCCAGACTCTGAAGGCAGAAAATCCCACAATATCTGCTTTGAACTGGGTTATCTGAGTCCACACTGCCATATAGTCCAGTTTAAAGCAGATAATGTGGAATTTTATTCACCTGTGCAGAAGAGGCCTAAGAGAGTGTGAATGGCCATAATGTACTCAATGAATTAATGCTCTCCTCCAAGCTACATCCTCCCATTCTTCAAACATAAGAAGTTGTTTGCCTGTTTTTTTCCAACTCACATTCCATTTCTAAATTTTGAGTTGGCACTTCCAAATGGGGACAATAGTCTTTCTGTACCACTGTGAAGAATTGGTTTAGCAATTGTAAGTAGTCTGTTTCCAGGCGTTTAGCTAAAGACTCCTCCCAGTTCATTAGATAGACTTTTATCACACCAGAAGTGACTTGCAATTTCTCAAGTCGCTCCTGACATGACAAAAAAAAAATCAAAATACAGTGGGCTTTAATTGTATTATGAATTACGGTATTTATCCTCTACAGTTTCTTTCTTTACAAAGTAAAGCAGCCTTCTTAAGAAGGCTATACATCCAATTTTAAGAGAGAAGTCTAATTTTTATTTTTTTCAAACTGTTGAAATGAATGCCAAGCACTCATACCACTGAATGCAAGCTAGTACTGAGAACTCAAAAGTGCATCTTCCAGTTAATATTTTGCCATCCATCAGAAGTGCTCACAGTGCTCTGCTACACAACAGATTGTAGTGGTTTTTTTTAAAATTCTGGACAAAACAACTGTTATAGTGGTACACTTTTCTCTCAACTTTTTGTTCATGCTGAAATAGGTAAAAGAAGCCTTTGATAACATTGCCACTGAGCTGACTGAACATAAGCATGCTCTTGTTCAGTCTCAGCAAAAAGAAAAGCAATCAGCTGCACTGGTCCAAGAGTTGACATCCATGGTGAAAGAACAAAAAGCTAAGATTACAGAACTGATTAAATTGAAGCAAGAAACAACTTACAGTCTGAAAGCAAGTATTTTTAGTCTTGTATCCTCTTCTGTTCTGCATTTTATATAAATAGAAGGAGCCTTGCATTATTCTTCAAAAACCTGTGCGGGGCCATAGCAACACCTCTTTGGCTCTGCTGCCTTATAGCTCCTGGAGAGGGCACCTCCGTAGCCCCACAGCCTCGCAGCAAGAGTACTTCAACGGCCTAGCTGCCAGCGATAGCAACACCTGTGCAAGGCCATAGCAACACCTATTTGGCTCTGCTGCCATCCTTCTCCTGGGCAAGGTGCCTCCATGGCCCCACAGCCTCGTGGCGAGAGTACTTAAACGGCCTAGCTGCCCACTGCCAGCCACAGCAACACCTGCGCGGGGCCATAGCAATACCTCTTCAGCCCTGCTGCCTTACAACTCCTGGACAGGGTGCCTCCATGGCCCCACAGCCTCATGGCGAGAGTACTTCAGTAGCCTGCCTGCCTGCCTGGCCATAGCAACACCTATTGACTCCTTGTGTCTTTATTGTATAAGATCAAGACCAGAACGAAGCCCAAAGAAAATAGCGCACAAATCAGAAACAATTATAACTTGTAAGCCGCTCTCAGTCCCCTTTGAGGTGAGAAGGGCGGCATATAAATGTAGCAAATAAGTAAATATAACAGTATAGATGCACATCACGTTAGTGCTCTTCAGTTATATTTTTAAAGAAGTAGCTATGTTAGTCTTGTAACATAAAAAAGAGGAAAAGAGAGCAAGGGGGAAATAGAACATAGCAGCACCTTTAGGGCTAACTTGTTTTTATTTTATCATAAGCCCTCATGGATATAAATCCACTTCTTCTGATATAGTATAGAACCCAGATGTTTTGGCCTTCAACTCCCAGAAATTGTAACAGTTGGTAAACTGGCTGGGATTTCTGGGAGTTGTAGGCCAAAACACCTGGGGATCCACAGGTTGAGAACCACTGAAGAATGATATTGAAGTCTGAAGTCAGATGTCCTTCACCATAAAATTTCAAAAGACTGGGTGAGGTGCTATGCATTTTTCAGATATTTACCATGGTTAGTTAGTGTTGATATGTCAAATTTTGAAACATGAGGCTTTAATATCACTCTGACTAATATCACCTGAAGGAGTGGAATTATAACCACAAAAGTTCATGCTAAAATAAAAAAGTTACTCTTAAAGGTATAGCTATGGCTGTCCAGAAATTGCTGAACTACAAGTCACACCATCCTAGGCCTTTGACAATAAGGACTAGGGTACCTGTGAGTGGCAGTCCTGTGTTTTCTGTCTCATCTCTTTGTCATACTACCTTAGGTCAGCCAGCCATTATTGGAAGCTACAGCACACCAATAATTGGAAGCTGTAGCCACAATGTATCTGTAGAGCAGCTTTTGGAGACCCTCGCCTAAAGTGATTTTCTTTGCTTTTTTTAAAAGAGTCGGATTCAAACACTTGAAAACATGGTGGAGGAAGATAAACAGAAGACAATTCAGCTTGAGCTTCTTAAACAAGAAAAATCAAAACTTATTTCACAGATAACAGCCCAAGAATCTATAATTGATGGATTAAAAGCAGAAAGGAAACTTTGGGGAGAGGAGCTAGCACAGCAGGGTAATCATTCAGAATGATCTGTCTTGTTATTGTAGGATGTAAATAAAGAATGGAGCTGTAACTGGTGCATCTGTGATAACTCTCTGCAAAACATCTAGTTTCTCATGACACTACTAAAGCATATTGACAGCAAAGCGTAAGTAGCTGTGGCATCGAAGAGGCACTGATGCCAACCCAGCATGCTCCTGTTGAGAGATGGGGATGTCACACATGCAACTACTTTTTGATTTCTGAAATCGTCAAGATATCTATCCCACTACACCATGAATTTCTACAGATTAGTATCCGGACCCCTATTTTCTATTAAAAGATATCTCTGTTTGCAAAAACTAGACATGCTGTCTCTGTTGTTATGCTGAAAACCCTTAACCATTTTAAATGGTTGCTATAATAACCTGTACACTGCTTTTTAAAAAGTCTGTGTTCTGAATGGATTTGCTGTAGTATTTCTAGGAGTGTTTGGAAGATGGTAAAGAAGTGGGAGGTGGGTTTGCTCCTTTTTTCACTCCCTCAAACTGACAGATTAGTTTGACTGTCTACAATACTGAAATAGCCAAGCATTTTTGTGTGTTTGTGTATATTTGTCTGTTTTGTATCAGGAGCTTCTCTTGCTCAAGATCGGGGGAAACTGGAATCCAAAATCGAAATCCTATCTGCTGAGAACGAGGCTCTGAAAAAGCAAAATGAACGTATCAATGATGGATTAAAGATAAAATCTAAAATAGTGGAGGACCAAACGGAAACAATTAGAAAGTTGAAAGAAGTAAGGGGTGTCTCAGAACTCTACTAAGTAACAGACTGAGTTAACATTATTATACAGAAACAAAGTTATAGAGCAGTTATTGTGGGGGGAAGTACTTCAGAGATTGGATGTTGTTAGATTTTAAATCCTATTCTCTATCCAACTTCTAGATGACCCCACTTTCCCTAGTCCTGGTATCCTTTCTGTTACTGTCTATTATGCAAATAGTACTTTTTTAAAGTGGAAACAAATTTTGCACCCAGTCCTGCAATAACTTAACTTTTAATAATATTGGGTGGTTAATTTGATCCCTGGTATTCTATTGATTTTGCCTTTCAGAATTGTAAAAAACAAAACAAAAAAACAAAACAAAATTAAAGTATTAAGAACTGTTAGTCTCACAGCAGTGCAAATTTGCTGATTTGGAATATTTTAAAGTCCTTACAGGAACGAGATGAACGAATAAGAAAGCAACGTGAAGAAAGTACTCAAATCCAGAAGAGACTTCAGGCACAGCTTGAAGAGAAAGAGGCACAACTGGATGACTTTGTGGAAAAGTTAGAAAGGCAAAATGAGAGAAAAGAAGAACTCAAACAACAGTTGCAGGAAAAAGATATGGAGCTTGAAGCAATTAAGAAATCTTATAGGTGAGTAAAAGTAGTAACATTTTCCACACGTGTTAAAACACTGTGTGTTACATTCAGGCATGACATAATGATTAGATTCTCTCTCTCTCTCTCTCTCTCTCTCTCTCTCTCTCTCTCTCCCCCCCCCCCCCCCCTTGAAATACTTGAAAGCCACTTCTTGGAACAGTGAGATTTAAATCTAACAAATAAAGTTGGATGTGATTTGCCTCCTTTGTGCATTGTGAGCAGTCCCTGAAACCAATTCTGAACGTGCCCATTATGTTTCAGTGCAATGAATAAGAAATGGCAAGATAAAGGAGGCTTATTGAGCAAGTTGGAAGCACAGGTTAAACAAATGAAAGAAAACTTTGATACCAAGGAAAGGCAACTGATTGAGGAACGAGATAAAAGTCTTCAAGCACAGAGGTAAATAAATATATCAGCATGCATAATGGTAACCGAGGAATTTCCTAAGCACTCAGCGTGTCATGTTTGGACAGATTGATTGGCTTAATTGAAAAAACATTCTAAGCTGTAAAGTTTAAATATCAACATGTCTGGAGCTTAGTAAGGTTTTCCCCATGTATCAAGTTGTATTTTATTTTATATATAATTTCACATTGTATTCGATTGTGGGTTATTTATGGAGATCATCTGCTAAAACAAAACTATTTTGCCTATTAAACAACTATGTCAACCTGTTTAAGCTGTCCTTTAAGGAAAAAGGAAAATATAGGTTGGGATAACATAGTCCAAGTCCAGGACAGGGACCTATTGAATAATTATTAGAAATAAGGATGCAGGGCTCATTTGCAAATTCTAGTTTGTGTAATCCATAATCCAAGTTTTGAATGTTAAGATGTCTCAACCTATTTTTTTATTAGCCAGATGTGGGGGTGGGGAATAAAAGCAGAAGATCACACTCTGTGTGCATCAGCATCAAGCTTTGTTAATGTTGGGATTCAGTAAATCAGGATTTCTGGTGTGTCATGTAAATGTGGCTATTCATTTCAAGATGGTGAGAATTTGAAGGGATCTTGTATTGTATAAAAGGTATTACTAAACAGTGTGTGTTTCAGAATACTGGAAACATACTGAAAGTTTTCCATCCTCACAACTTAAGACACAAAATAATAGCAATATAACTTGGTGTTACCATAAAGCGATTGGAAGGTGCATCTTGTGTTTAGGGCATTAACAGAAAAACTGCATTCTGTGGATGATGCTTTCCGGCAGCAGCTTGAATCAACACTAGCAGCACATCAAGCAGAATTGCTCCAGCTTGCAAATGAAAAGCAAAAACAGATTGTGACAGCAAATGAAAAGGTAAAGTGGGAAAGCCTAAAAAAAAAAATCTACATGTGCAAAAAGCAAAAGTCCACTTTGTGGTATCTGTGTGTGTGTATTCTTTCTCTCAGAGTGAGAGAGCTAAGCACTTATCTTAGGAGCTTTAAAAGTAAAACAGAGAGAGAGAGCGCTTCTAAGCACCCATCTTAGAAGTTTTAGAGGTAAAACATACCGCCTTGAATCCAACCTTGGATGAACTAATGCGTGTGTATTCATTCTAGGTTGGATTCAAAATGCCATGTCTTATTTCTAAAACTTTTAAGACAAGTGCTTATTTTCTGCAACAGATTGGTTCAAAGCTAACAAAAATGTTTTGATGATTTAATATGCTCTAGGGAAGCACATACTTGAAGGTTCCTTATACAATTTTCTACTAGATTCTAACTTTTTAGAATTGATTCTTAAGTGGGATCTGACAGAAACCAACATTATAAATATCTCAAAAGGAACGTTTCTA